AGATCAACAGAAAAAATTCAAATGTGTAACTACAGTAGAGCGTCGATTATCCGAAAGTCAATCATCCGAAACATCAATCATCCGAAAAATATTTATTTTGTTCGTACAAAATAAGAAATAATTTTTAACGATACAATAGTCTTCGTTAGGCTTAACATCGACGAAAATTCAACGCAAAGCAACACGCAATGGAGAAAAATGTCAAGATGGGATAAATTAATATATTTTTTCGTACGTAATTGGTTATCCGAAACATCAATCTTCCAAACAACCCCAGTCCCCAATTGATTCGGATAATCGATGCTCTACTGTATTTACATAAGTCCTGGTAACAAAATAGCCTTTGTTAGTAATTACTGTATGTTTTGGTTTACTGAATAATATTGAATATGGCTCGTGTCTGATATACATCTATTCAACTGGTCCTTTGCTGCATTTGAGTTTCAGACCCCTAAGCTAAACAAATGCTCAAGGTTTCAAGAAGTCAAGAAAAACCAGAATGATAGAAATTAAGACAATTTTTTCATTCTGATATTTGGTTATGGATTTATTATACTTCTGGAAAATATTTCTTTTTATTAAATGAATGGTTAATTTTTATTTTAGAATGTTCATCATCCTGTTGTCAGATCTTTATAGTTTAATGAACATTCAAATTCTAGTGTTCTAGACCAGTTATTCAGTTTGAGCATATAGAACATATACTATGCAGATATGAACTTATTTAAATTGCATTTTAAACTTATTACAACAACAACTTTAAAATTAGTTTTTTAAACTTGTCTCAAAACTGTAACAAGACTTTCAGATGAAGTACAATAACAAAGATGCAAACATGAAAACTGTGAGAACCGAGGGGGTGGAGTGTCGAGCTTCTCTCCGCTTACCGGTGGCTCTTATCAGGTATGGCTATATAGGAGGGCAAAATGTGTGAGTGGGGAGGTCCGCGAGTAAGTCGACAGGTTCCCGAATAATTACACAGGTTAAATAAAAATAACATATTTAATAAACAATTATAAGCTTATACATATTGAAGGCAAAAGCAATAATGACACAATTAGCAATAATCAAAAGACAATTCTATTCTATCCCATGACAATGATTCGTACTAACCCTGAACTTAAACTAAGAGACAAGAGATAAACCTCTTTAAGAGGGACGTCGCGGAGAGAGAGATTCAGAATGAAGTCAATGGTTTACCTAATGTGTTCCAATCTCGTCGTATGGGAGGTTAACGTCCCCAGATCGGTGATTCCTAAGTGTAGTCTCTCTTGGATGGCGGTATGGAGTGATGAACGTTACAGCGGTATGGACCTGGTGTCCGCTTGGCTGTCCTCTTGTGGGTATCAGCCAGCTGTCCGCTTCTAATGTCTGATGTGTCTGCCCTGAAGTGCAGATGCGACCCCTTTTTATACATGTCTTGACATGGGAATCATCAAGAAAACTCTGATGCAATCGCCTTTTCGGCGAGAGTTGTTTACTTAAACTTGGACGGTTCTTTTGATTTATTACACTTTCTACCTGTTACTTATGACGGGAAAGTGTCACTACAGCTGTCAAACTTCTTAAATTAATTGCTGTATGCAGCTAAAGTCAAAACATCAGCGAATGCACTATCGCTGCTTCGACTAAACCACCGACAATAAAACAATCATCACTTGGGTGATAAACGGCCTACGTCGGTATTCTGATATATCTTTCTCATCGTACGGTTAGACCATACAATGAGAAAGATATATCAGAATACCGATATAGGCCATCTAGAGGGTGACCAAAAGGTTCCCTTGCAGGTGACCCTTTTGGTTACCCTCTAGACAGTAACAGGTGATTGTTGATGTTAATTGGCTACTCAGTTGTACATTGTATTGAAGGAGGAATTAAATAATCTCCTATGGAAAGGGGAGACCTTCCCAAGACGTTCAAAGTCACCTTCGAGGTGATGCAGTACATTGCTGGGTCAAAAGGTCTATTCTTTACTTCACAGAGGGGGAAAAAGAGATATAATGATAGAAATAAAAATTACCGATGTGTGAAAATTTACGTGGGAGTTCGAATTCTCACAAAAACTAATAATAATAAATTAGGCTGTGGGGAAAATATTTTTTACGTGGAATTGTAAACTTAATCTTCATTTCTATATTTTAATATAAAGAAATTTTAAAATTTGAACAGTAATTTGTTGTTTTTTGTTATTTACTTAATAAACTTGTTAGATATAATATCAATACTTATTATATTACAAGAAATTCTTTTATAAACTGGCATTTTAAAGCTTCTTCCTACTGTTATATAATGCACATAAGCAAAATACCATGTTAAATTTATAATGATTAGTCTAATTATCATTTGCAATTAAAATAATTTTATCTGGCCCCATCCCTCACCACCTGACCACCTTGTGGGCTTGACCGAACCCATAATGGACTCACTAGAAAAAAGGCCCTCTTAGGGCCCACAGTAATGTTGAATGCATATTATAATATCAAAATTTATAAAAGTATTATGCAAATTAAGTGAATATTTAAAATATTTTTTATTGATTATATATATATATAATCGTAAAATTATATCATTAAAATCATTAAATTGTTCTTATCTGTAAATTTGAATGATTTCCCAGAGCTATTGTCTTCTGCTATTCATTGTTTTTGTTTATGGAAACAAAAAACAATAGCTCTAGGAAACCATTAAAAATTATAGATAAGAACAATTTCAATGATTATTATTATTATTATTTGAAATATATGATGTAGCATTATAGTATATTTAAAACACTTAATTCTTACTGAAGAAGTCTTTGAATGGTATTTATTTTGTGTAAATTTTATATCTCGATTTAAGGTATACAGTAGACCCCCCTATAATGCTTAGATACGTTCTACGCTAACCGAAAATTACGTTGTAGGAATGAGCCAATCGCAGCCCGATAGGTGGGAACTTTACGGACTAAGGCTGTTCGAAAGGTTTTCTTCTATAAAATTAACCGATTCTAGACTAATTCCACTCAACATTTCCAAAATACGTATAATTTTTTGGGAATAATCTGTATAAACTATGCTATAAACAAAAAATTGTAGGATTACTTACACCGTTCGACTACGCCGTTGCTTAAAGCTGGTTTTCATCGCGGAACAGCACGCGAAATGACGGCCGCAATTTCTGATAACGAATTTTTGGCGGAAAAATAACTTGACCTTTGGAGACATCATTAATATAAATAATTTTTATGGATGTTGAATAAGAAGTGTTTCTTTCACAAGAAATGTATAAAATTAGTGCTGTATTAGACTTACGGTACCTAATTTACATACTGTGCAGACGATAATAAACTCAACTTACTAGCCTAAAATCTCCGTAGCATGTTGCCAGGCGGCAGAAAGCATATATATAATTATAATAAAGTTACAATAAATTAAGTTAATATATAATTATATATACAGTACCTAATTTATATATAATTAATATATAATTATATGTACAGTACCTAATTTATATATAATTTATATATAATACTAAACAGACGATAGCAAACTCAATCTAGCCGCTCCGTAGCGTGGCGCAGGGTCGGAGGAAAGTAGTTCGGCTGCTCATCCACTATTGGTCCAGACTCTATCAATCTTGTCGCAAAACGACGTTATAGGAGGTACGTTATACGAAAGTTGCTACAATTTTTTCGCTACGTTATAGGAATTGTCGTTATAGGAACGTACGTTATAGGGGGGTCGACTGTAGAATACTTTTCCTGATTGGCCTCGCTTGTATGTGCTGTGTGAGTAAAAAAAGATTTTACTTTCATTAGCTTGTCACTTACATGCCTAGCAGAGTTTGATACAGCTCCAGTTTGCCATATTCTTTTCCTTCTCCTCCTTCCCATTCACATTCCCAGATGCCAGGAGGTTTTTGCACAGCTTTGTATACATGTGTCTTAATTTAATCAAAAACCAAAATGATAGAAATTAAGACAATTGTCTCATTCTGGTATTTGTTTGTGTGTTAAATATTTTATTCCAAAATAGAATCTTAATTTAAATTTTGTTCTGTACTTGATAAAAGCCTATGAATCGGATCAAAAACGTTTTTTTTAAAATTAAATTTAGTTTCTGGGAAAGTGTGTTTAGTGTTGTCTTATAATGGCGAAGTTCTAGCTTAAAGTATTATTGATAGTTTAAGAACTGATCTGGATTAATTTATTATTTATATGGAGCTAGTTCCAAAATCAAGTAACCCATCTGAAAAAAGGGTGATGGGAATGAGTGATTATTTATTGTGACATTGTCACAATGCTGGGCTGCAATTTTTAATCATATTTTTAATTTATTTAATTTAAAATATATGCTCTCCACATGAAATTAGTAGTGTCTTGCCCCTGTACATCATTCTTTTTCTTTAACAATTAGAGTCATGCTGATTATCTATTTACTGCTTTCAGGGTAAAACTTTTAAATTGAAATAACATGATTTCTAGTGCAAACTGGAATTTTGTATATAGTTAATCGGGGCTTCCTGCCCCTAAGGTTTCCATATCTGGTCTTGGATTTCATTTGTCTAATTTCGTTCTCGAGATTAAAGAAAGACAGATGGATCACAGTGGGAATTTATAGGTCTACAATTTTTTTCAAATAGCAGCCTAATGATGCAGACAGCTGGATGGCTGAACAGTTAAGGTGACAACCATCCATTCTGGAGGGTCTGGCGTTGAATCCGAGCTGGTCGAAAACCACCAGGAAATTTTTGGAGTGGTTTGTCCAGATATATATTTTATCTGGCCCCATCCCTCACCACCTGACCACCTTGTGGGCTTGACCGAACCCATAATGGACTCACTAGAAAAAAGGCCCTCTTAGGGCCCACAGGGTGGAAAGAGTTAAAAATAAGGGAAAGAATGATTCAATGATGTTCTATTGTATACATAATTTTAGTTTAACTTTTAAATACAGTCATGCAAGTTTATAAAATAATTTGTCACATAAAATTTAATAAAAATTATTTTTATTTTGCAGATTCAAAGTGGTTATCGTTGCATAATAAAATTAGCAGTATTAGTTAGTATTAAAGTTTTTAAATATGACAACTCAAGAAAGAAGTGCAGTTGAAAAGAAATTATTAGAAAATCTTCAGAATGATCTTAGATCATTGTCTAATGAAGCTAAAAAGAAACATCCTCCTTTAAAAGAGGTAATTTATATAAATGTTTTGCATAAAGTAACATTTTTAATCTATTAATAACTTCTTAAATATAATATTTTTGACTAATTATGTAACATCTTCAAGATTCTGAACAAGAAATTAGTCCTTTATGGATTAAAAGATATTTAATTTAATATCCAAGGGCTGGATTCACAAAAGTGTCATTAACAATGATTATGAATGCTAACAATATCATTAAAAATAATAATGTAATGATTTATTGTAGATGTGATTCACAAAAGCTGCTTGTAGAATACTGTACGACTGATGCCAAAGTAATTAGTCTGTCTATGGAATGAATCACGTGTGATGTCACTTCAGTTAATCCACTTCTCTATGTCGAAACCATTCTTCTTTTAAATTATATTTTGAAACACCATAAAGTGTTGATACTAGACACTGGACTTTTTCACATTCACTTTATTTTCTTATGTACTTTACAGTCTTTAAACTAATTGTTTAGTGGATGTGAAAAATTCCAGTGTCTAGTATCAACACTTTATGGTGTTTCAAAATGTAATATAGTTAAACCAGTCAAAACATTCCCTAATAATGTCAGCACTTTTTGCTTAATATGCCAGGCAATATGTGAATTTTATTTTACTCACTAGAATGCAGAAATACTTTTCTGTTAATTGTGTTTCTTTTTTATATCATTCATATTGACTGTAAAGAATCATGCATTTAATTACTAATACAGCAAACTTGTATTCCGATAACAGAACATGAAGCTTCCATAACACTGTTTATAATGGTGGCGACATGTTAACAAGTGAGGAAGAAAGCAGAAGTAACTTGCCACAACTAAGTGATCAATGGCTAATGCTCATCACTTAATATCTAAGTTGATTCTTTCTATAGACAGATTGTGGTGTCTTGTATCAAGAGTATAATAATGTCATCACTTCCGTCGGCTATGGCCAGTAAAACAAAATTCAATGTTTTCTGTAAAAATATGAATAAGTTCAAGCATTATTATACTCTATAACAATAAAATATTGTCATTATTTTAGTAATGACATATTCATAAATCTAGCTCAAAATTAAAAATTTGCAATTTACCTACATATTTCATATTTGATGTGAAAATATATATTCAAAGCCTGAATTCTTTAGTCAGTCAAAATTTCATTTTATGGATTATTGGATTGTTTCACTGCTTAATTAATTTAAACGTAGCCTTAAAATAGTATGATAGTTTGAATTGAATTATATTATATTAGGTACAATAAACATTTTAAAATCTGTTTTCAATTGTAAACTGATTTTATAGGTACTTAAACAATGTCACTTTATGACTGCATTAATTTGACATTATGTATTTAATAATTTATAAAAAAAAAACACTTATAAAATATTCAATTAATACTTTAATATTGTTTAAAAATTTTATTTATATGGGATGCGAGCAATGAAAAGTTACCCTAAGTTGGAGAAGTATATTTCTCCGAAGAGTAAAAATGCAATCAAAGTTAAAATTGTTGTTTTGTTTTGCTTTCAGTGCCAGATGTTTATAGTAAGTTTGGCAACAATTTAAGCTACAAATGCCCTCTGTCAATTATCTTGCTATCCTAAGTATGATTATTTTGCATGGTGTCATGATGCTAGTTCTGGCTATTGCATTGGTACTTTGCAAACACGTTACCTCATTATACTCATATACCAACACTCGTTTTGTTATCAGAATCTGTTCATTCAATTGTGAGCATCCGTTTGTTGTTGAAAATTGTGAGTTAATTTATTAACCGTTTGAAAATTGTAAGGTGATTTATCATTAAGAATGTTTTACACACGTGCTTTATTACAGAGGATGTTATCAAATTGAATAGCTATTAAGATTTTGCATAATTTTCATATTTTATTATTATGAATTATTTGTTTGTTTTTTTTTTTATTTTCCATGCAAATTTGAAGAAAACATTTAGAGTTATTTTCTTAAATTTATGATTTTACAAATTATATTTTTAAAATTCTATATCCCATTTAATATTTAACCACTTAAGCTGGATTTTTCTTTTAAATACCTTTGTTAATCCATAGAATAAGATGCATTCGAAAAATGAAAAATGATTTTTTCCATCTTAAGCTATCTTTATATAGATTGATCTTATATATGTAGAATTTATTTAAATAAAATATTAACATTTTATAATATTTACAGGCTGCCGAATCTGGAATTATAAAAGTTAGAAATGCATCGGGAAAACATGACGATCTTCGTTTAGGTAAATGGTATATTACTATAATTACTTTTAATTTGATTCTTGCATTTTATGTTTAGAATAATAGCTATTTTCTTCATTTTGATTAGCGTACTCTTATTTTATAAGTCGGTGATTCTTAAACTACGGAGAATGAGGGATTTTCTAGGGATGCAATAGAAATTAATAATAATATTAGTTTCCAAGTATAACTACATTTGGAGTTGATATTCTGACAAGAAGTTTCAGTATAATGTAGCATTGAAAATACTTACTACTTTCATATTTATTTTATTATTAATAGCATTAAGTTATCATTCTGGTTATCACAGTATAATCATTTTCCTCAAAATTTGATTTTATTTAATGCAATTTTACATTTGTTTTGAAACAGCCTAATAATTGCCTAGGTAGTAACTAAGTCACTCGCAACTTTACGGAGCAGCAAAAACTTTTAATAACAAACATTTTTGGTCTAAATATGACTGAATGTTCATTGAATATTTGAATATTGAATGAATATTTAATGTCCATTTAAAGTTTCTATCACTCAAAAGATTGTGAATAACTTAGTTACTATGTAGACAGTTACTTTTTATATTATGCTATGGCTTTGCTGGCCAAAGTATATCATAAACTTAGTAATACAAAATAACATTATGAATCAAATGCTGAGAAGCATTTCATCTCCAGCATTTAGTTTGTATTTTCATACTGTTTTTAAAGATTGCAAGATGGATGCAAAAGTTTGTAAACTGGAGAATGGTTATTAAATATGACCAAAAATGTTAGTTATTAAAAGTTTTTGCTGTTATAAAGATGGTGAATGACTTTTAAATAAACAAGAATGTTTCTTTAAAAAGTTTGAGAATCACTTTTATTAATACATCTTTAAATAACAGGAAGCAAAATTCATAATTTTAAATATTTTACAAATATTAAGAATCTACATGGTATACAAATTACAGTTTTATCACTGTTTAGTGATCTAATATAAAATTTAATAACGACAAATCTTCTAAAAATACATTTTGTTTAAACTTTTTAATTAGCATTACTGTCAGAAAGTCCAGAAATTCTTGAGCCATTTTTTTTGGGATGTGATACAAAAAATCCAAAAATTGTTCAGATTTGTTTAACTGCCATGCAACGATTAATTACTCAAGAAGCAGTTTCATTGGTAAGAAAATTTAAAAATTTTTAAATTACATTTGAAACATTCATAATATTTATATATGAAAATATTAAATAATATAAAATTATCTATACTGTACTTAAGTATAAAAAGTAAATAAATATTGTAATGTAGCAAAAATGATTCTTAATATAATTACTCTTATGTTTATTACATGTAAAGTATACTTGTAAATGACAATGCACACCCAAACTTGAAGGATTATGATTAAAATTTGATTTGAATTACATGGAATAGAAAGTAATTAATCAAGAAACCATTTTAATTTTGTTTTACTAATTGAAAAATGAGTAGACAAAATTCAGATTCCATTATCCATTGAAGAAATTAGTTGAAAGATCCATTTCAAGTCTAATGAAGAATTATCAGTCTGGTAGCATCTTAAGTTCAGAATTAGGATCTAGTTGATAGGATTTGATGCATTAGAAAATTAGAGAGAATTATGAAAAAAATATATTTAAAAAATTTCAGAAGTCTAAAGCATGTTGAGAACAGAATCTTCAAAAAGAGAAGTGACGATAACTCATATGCATGCACTTCTTCTACTAGCAATTATATAATTAGTTGAATGTCATAGTGCAATAACTGTAACAAATTCTCTAAATTAGAACTGTAAAAGAAGTATTTTTTTTTTTATAAAATAATTTTAGAATTATTTGATGAATTAATAATTATTCATTTACTTGAAATCTTATAAATTATTATTATGTACCGTATTTTATTATTATTATTATTAAATCTGTTTCACACCTTTCATGTAATGAATGATGATCTATTTCCCATACTTATTCATTGACACTTTACAAATGATATATCTAATCTAAATATAACTAGCAATTACTTATTGTGACGACTTCACAATGTTGGGCTGAAATTTTTAATTATTTTTTAAATTAATTTAATTTAAAATATATGCTCTCCACCTGAAATTAGTAGTGGCTTGCCCCTGTACATCATACTTTTCCATTAGCAATGGAGTAGTGCCGGTCATCTATCTAACTCCTTTTGGGGGAAAATTTTTAAATTAAAATAACGTGACTTCCGGTTTGCATCGGAAGCTCCTATATAGTTAAGAAGGTCCTTCCTGCCCTATATAGTTAAGAAGGTCCTTCCTGCCGTATCTGGTCTTGTCTTTCATCTGTTTAACTCCATTCTTGAGATTAAGGAAAGATGATTGTGGGAATTTATAGGTCTACAATTTTTTCAAATTGCAGCCCAATTACACAGAACAATTTCCAACTGGTGTCAGAACCTTAACGTATGTAATTTATGTAATGGATATTATATAAATTATAATAAAAATTGAAAACACGAAAGTTTGATTTTTATTAAAATTGGGTTTCAAATAATAAGTGATAAGAGAATTAAGAAAATTTCACTGTAACAAGTATCTAGCATTTTATACTTACATTTTAGATAAGAAAATTTAATGTAATAAAAATAATAATTGCATTATATATTAATATGTATAACTTGGTTAAAAAATATTTTTTACTAGTGTAATATTTATTATTTGAACATTGTTATATTAAATAATACATAATTTGCATTTTTGTTTTTTAAATTTTAGACGGCAGCCACAAATATTATTTCGTGTCTTTGGAGTTTAATGGAAAGTGGAACTGAAGAACTAAAGTTATTGCAAACTGTAACATTGTTGTTAACAACCAATACAATAGTGCAAAAAGAGACATTATCTAAGGTAAATTTATAATACTGTATTTAGAAATAGATATTTAAAATCTTATTTACTATTGCCATCTGCAGGTTTACTCGGAAAATTTAAAGAAATAACTTTATTATTTGTTGTTAACTTTTCTTTTATTTTCCTGGCTGTTACATGGGAAAGTATTGTAAATTGTGTCAAATTTGACTCTCTGCGTGCTTGCAAATTTTGACATTTTGTGACCCTTGAACAAGTGTCATGGAGCCAGAGTCGGGTGTTTTTGGTTGGAGTAGGTGAAATTCTTTCATCTCCGGCAACTCCGACTTTGAAGTTTATTTTATTGGTAAAATGTGAAGTAATAAAAATACTTATTAACCTATCCCATGTTGAAATTTCTCTCTGTTGTATGTCGTGCCATGTTAAATTTTTGTCAATGTTAAGCCTAATGAAAATTACACAGTTTTGAAAAAATAATCGTATTGTTCGAAATTATTATTTTATTTTGTGTAAATAATAATTTCGAACAATACGATTATTTTTATATATCTATTTTATTTTGCATAAATAAAATAGATATATTAATAAATGTAAAAACAAAAAAAATCTTATATTTCAGAAGTTAGTTTTAATATAAAAATCATAAGTACTAGCAACATCTAGTTTCAAAAACGTTCCAATGTTGAAATGAGATATCTCGGGTCAAGATCATTAAGTTGCAACCAGAGATATGTCGGGAATACCAAGGAGTAGGTTAATTAATTAGTATTTAACCTACCATTACTAGAGGGTGAATGCTGCACTTGCTTTTATTTTAAAACACTTGTAACTTGGATTTCTTAGATGTTTTGAGCCAAACTCTCATCTACTTTCTTTTTCAAGTATCCCCTTCGACAAGATACTGGAATCTGAAATAATAATCATTGCTAACATTCTCAGAGCTACCTTTGTTAGTCATGTTGGAGAAGTTAGTGCAACACTCACTCGCAAGCAGTTGTGTTTTTTTTTCTGCATTTGAAGTACAATTCTAATTGCAAATTAATATTGTATATATGTACTAAACATGGGATATGATGAAATGATTTTCAAATGGTTGGCTAAAGAGTCTAAGGAAGAAAATGTAGACTCTTGTCAGACAATGAGAGTGAGGATCTGCACGTGAAAACTCTGAAAATGTTGAGAAAGAAGCTAGATCCTTCGTAGGTAACGTCAGTAGGAAGAGAAAAGTGTGCATATTGCAAAATAAAAAAAAAAAAAGGAAAATAGCATATAAGTGTGTAAAATGTACTTCACCAATCTGTGGATCCCACATAATAGCAATCTGCAAACAATGCCATTTTAAAAATCCAGATCAAACAGATTCAGAACTTGAATACAAATTATAATTAAGTTTAACAGTAATTTCAGTATCGTGTTTTTGTTTCGATCATTGAAATTAATTTTAATGTATTCTAACCAAAGTAAAGTAAGTTAAACATTAAAATCTCTATTATTTATAACAAAATATATCTATAACTTCCTGATCCGAGTCAAATTTATCAAGACAAATTATTAAGAATACGAAAATATGTAGGCTGAGTGTGACAAATCTAACCACAAGGAGTGCCTGATTAAAGAAACTTTTTAGAATAAAGACACTTGGATAAAGTTACATATAACCTATAAAGGTTGTTTCATAGCAAAAATGTTATATGTATCTCATGCAACATGCTCTATACTTTCAGAAAATTTTTTTATATTAATTTAAGGTCTACCAGTGGCTGAGTGGATAAAACCACCAAACTCTTGTAGTTAGATGTGAGATTGTGTTTAGAAAGTAAACACTTACGGTATTGATTCAAAGCGCCATGCTTATCTTTACCAAACAGAAGTTCCCAAGAAAAAATTTGACTTTCGTTTTGGGTGTGTTAATTTTTACTCAGCACAATAATATTTTTATCCCAGATGTTTTACTTTGGATATCAATTATTTTTTTGACCAATTTGACTAATTAATTTTTTCACCACCCTTCTTTTGGTTTCGAATTCTAGCTTGAAATAAATTTCAAATTATAGTTTGAAATAAAAAAAAATGATTTAAAATAAAGAATGTTTTATAATATATAAAATATACTTTCAGGCACTCGTTCTTTGTTTTCGTTTGCATTTTACAAAAAATAGCACAACAAATAACACCGCATCGGCGACTGTTAGACAGTTAGTGGCAGTAGTATTCGAACGGGTGCAGTCGGAAGATTCCACACCAAATGAAGGTATCTCAATAAATTTTTAGTTTTATAACTTTATAGAAATACTTTATTTATCTATTTGCATTAATATTATTATTAAAATTATGTTTAAGATAGGATAGGTGATTTAAATTTAGAAGAACTCAAGACTGGTAGTAGACATCCTCCTAAGTCATTAAGACCTTGCGCTGCAGATGCTTTTTTGTTATTTCAGGTATTGGTTTTAAGAGAATAATTTGTATGTAGTTAAAGTGATGAATGAAAGATATTAGTCTTAAGATAAGAAAAAAAAAAAACATTAAGTTTATTAACATTAGAATAAAGTTTATTATTGAAATAAATCTTTTTAAAATGCATTCTATTTATAAATCCTTCATATTGATACCGTTTTTGAAGGTATGAGAAGTTTTTTGCAATAATAATCAATGGATAACATGTATAAAAGTAATGAATTTTTTAATCTATTGTTTATTTTAAGTTTTTAGCATATATTAAAAAGTATAAAATAAGTTTACACTTATTTGTTTACAATTTATTTCTTTTCATTTTTATCAAATAAAAATTATAAATCAATTTTCACATTGAAATTTTAATTTATAATAATTTAACATTTGATAATTTGCAACTTTTATTGGCTTAACTAACATTAAAGATATTTTATAAATATATATATTAAAGTGGATTTTTATTGACCAGAACTTTGTCCAACGAGAGGAGACCGTGCTGATCTTTAAAAAACCGTTTAAATGAAACACACTTGAAATTATGCCATTCTTAGACTTTTGCTGAGTGATTAATTTTCCGTTGTTTGTTTAACTTATTTGGTGAATTTTATTGTTTTTCCACTTGTAACAGTTATTCATCTGTATTTTGTTTTTTTGATGGTGATACTGGGTTCAACATGAGCACGAGGGATGGGAATTATAGTGAACCTATCAAGAAAATATTGTTTTTTAACGATTAGATTCTGACAGCCAGATGGCAAAGGTTGTTAAGTTGTCAGTCTACTGTTCTGGGGAACCTGGGATTGAATCTGGGTGGGCAATCTGGAAATTTTTGCGGACAGTCTGTCCTGGGCCCCATCTCTTACTGCCTTCTTTATGTACCGATCAAATTTATGACAGGTATGGATAAAAAGGCCCACTAAATGAAAAGAGTAAGAAATTGAAAATGATTGTATTAAGAGTTTGATTTATCATTGACTTCTCAATGACAAGCTCAGATTAGATGTTACCAAATAGCAATGGAGGGTAAGTGCCACTTGGCAGTTTATAAAATGATGTAAATCAATTGCACAACAATATGCCAAGTTAAAATGATGAGGACAATGATTTGTTTCAAGTTTGGCAATTTGATGCATACTACAGTTTTCTGAGGTTTTGTAACATATTTGAAAGACTAGTTTCTGTTGTTTAACTTGTTGGCTGCAATTTGAAAAAATTGTAACAAACTCCCACTGTCGTTTGTCTGTCCTTCCTTCCTTAATCTTGAGAATTGAGTTAGTTAGATCAAAATTGAGACCAGATATGGAAACCTTAGGGACAAGAGGCCCTGATTAACTATATACAAACTTTCGGTTACGTGATGCCATCAGAATTTTTGGGTCTCATTCGGTTGTCTCTCATTCCTGGTTTATACTGGAAGTCATGTTATTTCAATTCAAAACTTTCCTCTGAAAGGAGTTAGTTAGATGACAGGTACTACGCTAATGCTAGCAGGGAAAGCATGATGTACAGGAATAAGACACTACTAATTTGAGATTATGAGCATATATTTTAAAATTAAAAATAAGATTAAAAATTGCAGCTCGGCATTGTGACAATGTCATACTAAAATAACTGCTTGTTAGAATATATGTTTTTCTTTATAAATACTTTAAAATATTTTGAGTTTATTTTAGTTTAATTGAAAATTTTAAATATTATTTATGTAATTTAAAACTATATTGCAGATTTTTAATAACAAATTTTTGTTTTAGGATTTAGTTCAGTTAGTGAATGCCGACCAACCATTCTGGCTTGTCGGTTTAACAGAAATGACGAGAACTTTTGGGTTGGAATTACTAGAATCAACACTCACTACATTTTCTGATGTATTCTTTAAAGTAAGAATAATTTTGAAAATTTATTGATTTATAAATTTTTACTAGTTAATCTTTCATATATGATATGGTTTAAAATATTAATTATATAAAACTGTACAGAAATACACTTAAATTAGTCTGTTAAATTTTAGTTGATTGGCAATTAAACATATAAATAAGTTGCTTTTTTAGTCAGTTTAAGAAAGAATTTTTATTGGGAAAACTCATCGGTAATAAACATTGCCCACCAGTGGTCGAGTGAATAAAACCACCAAATACTGTCAACTGGCTGCAGGTTAGCACCTCGTCAACAGACTGACTGTGTTTTCCATATTTCCACATTTGTAACATTTCAATAAGGTGCAAGTTTCCTTTAGAAAGTTGGCTTGGAAGTCATCCCCTTAGCAGATTGCCTGCATGCCGCATTGCCACATATGAACAAATAGTAATAAACAATAGATTACTATAAATTTCCTTTAAAATAATTTACACAGCTAATAGCTTCTTACCAGGGCTGTGGAGTTTTGGTGTTTTAGCCGGAGTCTGAGTCGTCAAAAAATCCGCCGACTCTGACTTCTTTTTGCTTCCCAACTTGTTATGTATATAAAACGGAAAAGTATTGAAATCGTGTCAAATTTGACCCTCCAAGTTTTCTTTGCAAATCTACATGTACATTTGGAGACCTCCCAAACCCCCCAAAAAAGTCAATAAAAGGGGAAAAATTCACGTGTGTATGTGTGTTGGCGTCTAATTTGTTTAATTTCTTTATTTTCTGTTCTGAGATATTAAACAATATCTCAGAATGGATAAAGTTTAAGAAACGAAATTTGGCACTGTAGCTTGTGTATAAAAGGGCATTAATACTATTAAATTTTGGTTCTTAATTAAAGGTCGACAGGGTGAAGACATAAAAGGGGTCATATGTCATATCTCTTAATGAATATTTTAGTCGTTATTAGCGTTCAAAATTAAAAAATAAAAAATAAAACTCGTCTTTACCCTCAAAGTAAGCTTTTTTGTCATTTTATAATAGTACAGTAAAACCCAGTAAGACGTTCTCGCCTATGATGTTAGAATGTATATGGAGACATGATTTAGTTCAACCACTCCGACGCTTAATAACTAACTCGTGTTAAACCATCTGACTCTAATTCTAACCACTCTGACCACAGAAATTATTAGGCTTCAAACAGGGTGATCAAAATCATGCCCACCCCACACAGTCTAACATCCACACATTTAGAAAAAAACCTTGAATCTTTTGCATATCTCAAAATTTTAAGGTATCCTGAGTCCAAAAATGTAAAAATTTGGGAGGGGTCATTTTTTGACTGAGCATTACACTTTCCCTCTGTTACATATAACAGCCGGAAAAGTAAAAATATTTATATATTGACTGTGTCATTACTTAGAGGAGTCTTTTAGCTTTGGAATAAAAAGTTTCTACATTCTATCTTTATTAGAACTCTATTTATTGAACCTTTTATTCTGAGGTCACGTGATAACATTAGAATTTTCGGGTCTCTTTCGGTAACAAGTCTGCCCCTAGTTGGAGTTGGTAGATTTTTACGTGACTCCACAGCCCTGCTTCTTATGAATAAAAGCACTTAAAGAATAAAATCTAACAAAAGATAAAACTGAAATTATTTTTTAGAAATCAAAATTTTCTTTGTCTGAAGCATTTCAAAGAATTTCCTAATTTTGTTACAAGTAATAATGTAGAAAAAATAAATAGCTTGTGTTTATGTTATATACCCTTTCATTGTTGATAGGCTATTCGTTTAATGTTTATTTAACTTGGGGAAAGAAGTATACTTAATTTAGTCTATTATAATTCTGCTTCCACTGGAGTTACATAAGAAAAATTCCAGTTACTACTTTGGGTTGTTTCTCATTTATAATTGGAGTCCATTTAAAAAAAAAAAGTCAATTTCATATCAAATGATCATTAATGTTAAGAACATTGATACCTTGGTGTGGAGGTAGGTAGTAGAGCGGTTGCAACCAATGTTTTCAACTCAAAACATGAATGTCGGACGTCAAGCACTGCCATCTGGCAATGTTAGAAGGTTGATAATGATGTTTACTACATCTAGTATGGTGAGTAGAAGATGGGTTTAAACTTCATTTTTTTTGTGTTTGGGGTTAAAATTATGATGTATTTTATTAAAATAATGATTATTTATTAGGACACGGAAGAACTAACAGTCAAGATTTCTGCCATCCGAGTCCACCTACCATACCACCCGGACAACATCCATTATTTATGTAATTTAAAACTATATTGCAGATTTTTAATAACAAATTTTTGTTTTAGGATTTAGTTCAGTTAGTGAATGCCGACCAACCATTCTGGCTTGTCGGTTTAACAGAAATGACGAGAACTTTTGGGTTGGAATTACTAGAATCAACACTCACTACATTTTCTGATGTATTCTTTAAAGTAAGAATAATTTTGAAAATTTATTGATTTATAAATTTTTACTAGTTAATCTTTCATATATGATATGGTTTAAAATATTAATTATATAAAACTGTACAGAAATACACTTAAATTAGTGCTGTTAAATTTTAGTTGATTGGCAATTAAACATATAAATAAGTTGCTTTTTTAGTCAGTTTAAGAAAGAATTTTTATTGGGAAAACTCATCGGTAATAAACATTGCCCACCAGTGGTCGAGTGAATAAAACCACCAAATACTGTCAACTGGCTGCAGGTTNTAATCTAAAGCAAAGAAATATATTAAAGTGGATTTTTATTGACCAGAACTTTGTCCAACGAGAGGAGACCGTGCTGATCTTTAAAAAACCGTTTAAATGAAACACACTTGAAATTATGCCATTCTTAGACTTTTGCTGAGTGATTAATTTTCCGTTGTTTGTTTAACTTATTTGGTGAATTTTATTGTTTTTCCACTTGTAACAGTTATTCATCTGTATTTTGTTTTTTTGATGGTGATACTGGGTTCAACATGAGCACGAGGGATGGGAATTATAGTGAACCTATCAAGAAAATATTGTTTTTTAACGATTAGATTCTGACAGCCAGATGGCAAAGGTTGTTAAGTTGTCAGTCTACTGTTCTGGGGAACCTGGGATTGAATCTGGGTGGGCAATCTGGAAATTTTTGCGGACAGTCTGTCCTGGGCCCCATCTCTTACTGCCTTCTTTATGTACCGATCAAATTTATGACAGGTATGGATAAAAAGGCCCACTAAATGAAAAGAGTAAGAAATTGAAAATGATTGTATTAAGAGTTTGATTTATCATTGACTTCTCAATGACAAGCTCAGATTAGATGTTACCAAATAGCAATGGAGGGTAAGTGCCACTTGGCAGTTTATAAAATGATGTAAATCAATTGCACAACAATATGCCAAGTTAAAATGATGAGGACAATGATTTGTTTCAAGTTTGGCAATTTGATGCATACTACAGTTTTCTGAGGTTTTGTAACATATTTGAAAGACTAGTTTCTGTTGTTTAACTTGTTGGCTGCAATTTGAAAAAATTGTAACAAACTCCCACTGTCGTTTGTCTGTCCTTCCTTCCTTAATCTTGAGAATTGAGTTAGTTAGATCAAAATTGAGACCAGATATGGAAACCTTAGGGACAAGAGGCCCTGATTAACTATATACAAACTTTCGGTTACGTGATGCCATCAGAATTTTTGGGTCTCATTCGGTTGTCTCTCATTCCTGGTTTATACTGGAAGTCATGTTATTTCAATTCAAAACTTTCCTCTGAAAGGAGTTAGTTAGATGACAGGTACTACGCTAATGCTAGCAGGGAAAGCATGATGTACAGGAATAAGACACTACTAATTTGAGATTATGAGCATATATTTTAAAATTAAAAATAAGATTAAAAATTGCAGCTCGGCATTGTGACAATGTCATACTAAAATAACTGCTTGTTAGAATATATGTTTTTCTTTATAAATACTTTAAAATATTTTGAGTTTATTTTAGTTTAATTGAAAATTTTAAATATTATTTATGTAATTTAAAACTATATTGCAGATTTTTAATAACAAATTTTTGTTTTAGGATTTAGTTCAGTTAGTGAATGCCGACCAACCATTCTGGCTTGTCGGTTTAACAGAAATGACGAGAACTTTTGGGTTGGAATTACTAGAATCAACACTCACTACATTTTCTGATGTATTCTTTAAAGTAAGAATAATTTTGAAAATTTATTGATTTATAAATTTTTACTAGTTAATCTTTCATATATGATATGGTTTAAAATATTAATTATATAAAACTGTACAGAAATACACTTAAATTAGTCTGTTAAATTTTAGTTGATTGGCAATTAAACATATAAATAAGTTGCTTTTTTAGTCAGTTTAAGAAAGAATTTTTATTGGGAAAACTCATCGGTAATAAACATTGCCCACCAGTGGTCGAGTGAATAAAACCACCAAATACTGTCAACTGGCTGCAGGTTAGCACCTCGTCAACAGACTGACTGTGTTTTCCATATTTCCACATTTGTAACATTTCAATAAGGTGCAAGTTTCCTTTAGAAAGTTGGCTTGGAAGTCATCCCCTTAGCAGATTGCCTGCATGCCGCATTGCCACATATGAACAAATAGTAATAAACAATAGATTACTATAAATTTCCTTTAAAATAATTTACACAGCTAATAGCTTCTTACCAGGGCTGTGGAGTTTTGGTGTTTTAGCCGGAGTCTGAGTCGTCAAAAAATCCGCCGACTCTGACTTCTTTCTGCTTCCCAACTTGTTATGTATATAAAACGGAAAAGTATTGAAATCATGTCAAATTTGACCCTCCAAGTTGTCATTGCAAATCTACACGTACATTTGGAGACCTCCCAAACCCCCCAAAAAAGTCAATAAAAGGGGAAAAATTCACGTGTGTATGTGTGTTGGCGTCTAATTTGTTTAATTTCTTTATTTTCTGTTCTGAGATATTAAACAATATCTCAGAATGGATAAAGTTTAAGAAACGAAATGTGGCACTGTAGCTTGCATATAAAGGGGCATTAATACTATTAAATTTTGGTTCTTAATTAAAGGTCGACAGGGTGAAGACATAAAAGGGGTCATCTGTCATATCTCTTAATGAATATTTTAGTCGTTATTAGCGTTCAAAATTAAAAAAAAAAAAATAAAACTCGTCTCTACCCTCAAAGTAAGCTTTTTTGTCATTTTATAATAGTACAGTAAAACCCAGTAAGACGTTCTCGCCTATGATGTTAGAATGTATATGGAGACATGATTTAGTTCAACCACTCCGACGCTTAATAACTAACTCATGTGTTAAACCATCTGACTCTAATTCTAACCACTCTGACCACAGAAATTATTAGGCTTCAAACAGGGTGATCAAAATCATGCCCACCCCACACAGTCTAACATCCACACATTTAGAAAAAAACCTTGAATCTTTTGCATATCTCAAAATTTTAAGGTATCCTGAGTCCAAAAATGTAAAAATTTGGGAGGGGTCATTTTTTGACTGAGCATTACACTTTCCCTCTGTTACATATAACAGCCGGAAAAGTAAAAATATTTATATATTGAGTGTGTCATTACTTAGAGGAGTCTTTTAGCTTTGGAATAAAAAGTTTCTACATTCTATCTTTATTAGAACTCTATTTATTGAACCTTTTATTCTGAGGTCACGTGATAACATTAGAATTTTCGGGTCTCTTTCGGTAACAAGTCTGCCCCTAGTTGGAGTTGGTAGATTTTTACGTGACTCCACAGCCCTGCTTCTTATGAATAAAAGCACTTAAAGAATAAAATCTAACAAAAGATAAAACTGAAATTATTTTTTAGAAATCAAAATTTTCTTTGTCTGAAGCATTTCAAAGAATTTCCTAATTTTGTTACAAGTAATAATGTAGAAAAAATAAATAGCTTGTGTTTATGTTATATACCCTTTCATTGTTGATAGGCTATTCGTTTAATGTTTATTTAACTTGGGGAAAGAAGTATACTTAATTTAGTCTATTATAATTCTGCTTCCACTGGAGTTACATAAGAAAAATTCCAGTTACTACTTTGGGTTGTTTCTCATTTATAATTGGAGTCCATTTAAAAAAAAAAAGTCAATTTCATATCAAATGATCATTAATGTTAAGAACATTGATACCTTGGTGTGGAGGTAGGTAGTAGAGCGGTTGCAGCCAATGTTTTCAACTCAAAACATGAATGTCAGACGTCAAGCACTGCCATCTGGCAATGTTAGAAGGTTGATAATGATGTTTACTACATCTAGTATGGTGAGTAGAAGATGGGTTTAAACTTCATTTTTTTTGTGTTTGGGGTTAAAATTATGATGTATTTTATTAAAATAATGATTATTTAAGCATTTATGAATAATAATGTAAAGAAACAGATGATTTTAATCCAGAAATTATTTAATTATTCAATTTTTTCAAGTGATGTGAAGTGCCTATAGAATTTACATATATTTCTGTTCTTAATAGCTTATCATAATTCTGTAGGAGTAGGTTCTTTCACAGCATCTTCTACCATCAACAGCATAATATGTTCGTAAATTTTCTAAAAATTATTTTCCGAGCTGCTTTTGGATTTACATAAGCCACTACTTCCTCATTTCCGCAACAAAAGTATGAGGTAGTCCTATCGTATGGTAGGTGATACAATGCTAATTAAAAATTATTTAGTGTTATTAAACATACTGTAAATACTTTAAAATAATTTAATTTGTTTATTTACTTTTGCTAGTAACATTCGTCATTGTTAGATGTTTCCTCCATTTTTAAACAATATCCCATGAGTCAGTGCGCTATGTGAACATGTGACTCAATGTGTTTTACTTGAGTTCAAATGTCAAATGTGTACTTCTGCTTGCCGTACAAATTTAACGTTTGAACTTTGGCTGCAACCTCTCTAGTAAGGAAGAGTAAGAGAGAGAAATGTAGAAATTGTTGATTGACTGCAGGGAGAATATGATTTAAATGAATTTAGAATGTGGAAGGAAAGCATTGCTTTAAATACGAATGTGTGTATTTGAATTTAAATTTCAAGAGCTATGTTTCAATGAAAAATTGTGTTTTGTAAAGAATTTCACACATTTTTCGTACTTGGAAATGTCCAAAAGTGCTTAGTCGGAATTTTTGTGACTCCAGTGAAAGCATTGAAATATTACTCTAATATTATAATAATAATAAATCCATTCAAATATTTATTCCAGCATAAAGAATTCAGTTTTCTGTTAAAAGAACGTGTATGTCCTTTGGTAATTAAGTTATTTTCTCCAAATATTAAATATCGGCAAGGAATGCAATTAGCAGGACAGATTCCCACGTCAACAGATAAACCATATTTTCCTATTTCTATGAGATTATTAAGAATAGTATCAGTTTTGATTCAGAAATTCTATTCAATGTTGGTAAGTTTTCATTTTTATATATATATCTTTAAAGCATAAATATTATATTTTGAATAATTAAATCCTTTTTGTTTTTTAGGTAACCGAATGTGAAATATTTTTATCACTAATAGTTAAATTTTTAGATAATGACAAGCCAAATTGGCAAAGAGCATTAGCATTAGAAGTCTTGCATAAAATGTGTATTCAACCCGAATTAATTAAGTAAGTAATTTTTGATTAAAATACAGGTGTCTGTCACTTAATGTCTTCTTGTTTAACATTTTTCCGACAGAACGTCTTTCGGTTTTAATATGCAAACTTTATAGAATGCACATATCTCGCGATACAACATTTTTTGGCTCATCTTTATATTTACATTACAGAATTTCTGTACAATGCCTTTTAACAAAACAATATGCAGGGAAAGTCTTGTTACATTCAGCTGAAATTGGTTAGGATGTTAGTATGCTATTCAAAACATTTACATATGATTCTAAGTGTTAAGAAATGGAAAAGCATCTTAAATTAGTTAGTGATAGAAAGAGAAGACATTGTCATATCATATCAGAACCTATAGCAGAAAGCCTAAATACACTTCCTTGATGATACCTGTCAATCAATCCTTAAATTTACAGAAGTGTCAGAGTCATTGTTAAGAATGTGTTGCAATTTGCTTTTGTTTGTATTTTTTAAAACAAAAATCTCTATTAGTCCATATCATTTATCTTGTATAATAATTGTAATATTTGTGATATGTTGTGCAGATTATACATGTTAAGATAGGTTTGCATTGCAAGAATGAATGAAATGAATAATAAAGCAAAATGTTGTTTACTTTATACTATGTGTGACAAACTGATTTAGAATATGATTGTTTTGAAAAAATTTTGAACATTAATTGTGAAATGTTGATTGGTCAAAAGTTGAGATATTTTCAACTCCTAACGAACTTGTTGAACAGTTATCAAAATGGGATGAACTGGCAGTTTGTATCTACTTTGTAGCAGCTCATATGCTAATATGAACTTAGCTTTACTGCATACAAACTACTGTATCAACTGTTTTGTGATCAGAAAATATTAATCATTTTATATCTTAATATGATACTTTGTAGCTTAATTAGGTATTATATTGTGTTTTAGTTATGTTTTTGGAAATTAAATTGGGAAATATAATTATTTACATTCAAAATATTAACAATTTCTCACAGAACACCTGATTTTCAGAAACAGATTACTGACATTAAGTAGTATATGCCTGTAAATTGTAAAAGAATTTTATGGTAACTGAGAAATTACATTTTTTTTTTTTTTGTTATAGATCATTCTGTGTATCATATGACATGAAGCTTCATAGCACTAAAATCTTTCAAGATATGGTAAATGCATTAGGATCATACGTGCAGTCTTTATTTGTCAATTCATCTTCTGTTAGCCAAAGTTTAGCATCATCATTAGGAGTGAATGCTGGACAGCAAAATTCAGTTGCTACTCAAGGACAATCTCCCGCACTTGTGGCAGGAATGCCGATTGGGGCAGGAGTCACTCCGCAACCAGCCTTCTTATATCGTGGTGTTTGGTTACCTTTAATACAAATTTATCCAGTTAATACCTGCAAACCTGTTTTGTAAGTTAAAGATTTTAAAAGTCTAATGTTTTATTTTTTAATTTAAAATATCAATAANATGTGTCTCTATTTTGAAATGATATACATATATATATATATTAAAACTTTTTAATGAAAAAAATAACTGTACAAGCTATTTTTATTCCTATTGTGAAGAAATTTATTATATATAATTTATATATTCAAGTTTTCTGAATATGACGATATCAGTTTTGCAAAACCAAAAGTTATATTTCATTTATTAATGATGCAACTTTTTTCCTCTCGGATGAATTCATACAAACTTCTTTAACACTAATCTAAAATATAACTGAAGTAATACAAACAAGATTGCAGTTCTGTTTGTACCTCTCTTTGGTTGGTCTTTATGTAAAGGAGCAATTTACAAGAATTCTTTGTTAGATTAAATGGGAGATTTCCAGTTAAGTGGCAATAAAAAAATTCCCTATAAAATATGGTAATCATTTGCAAATACACTGGTGTTTGCAAAACATTAGCATTGATTGTTTTTTTTTTTTTTTTTTTTGCTGTAACTCAGGAAGAAATCATCTGGGAGACATGAAATTCAGAATATAGACACATTATTTTGTACTTAAAGGATGAAGAAAGTATACTTGTGCAAAAATGAATAGAACAGACAGTATGGAATCAAAGCTGCCTTTTTATTGTAGTCTTGCACTGCACATGTTTTTCATGCCCTCATCTCACCCATGATGTCATCATCTTACATATGAATCATTTTTCTACTGAATTGGGTGTTCATTGTACTGATCGCAACAAGCCCTTTTCTACAATTTCGTGGCTGTCTGCTTAAAAATGATATCGTTGCTTAAGTTTTGCACACCAGTGTATTTTACTAATTTGTGTAATTCTTGAAAATCCAACTGTGTAACAATACAATGATAGGCATTATCACAATTGAAATTAAATAACTGCATCTTGTAAAATTTTGCTAATTTTATTTAATTTTGTGAACTCCTATATTGACATATAGAAGCTTAAGCTTGCAGTTAATACTAAGAGTTATAATTGGTTGGTTGGTTTATTTGACACAAAAATCTTACAGGATGTACTGCACCATACCATTTGATAACTGAGAAGAAAAGTACATTAACTTATGTACTTTTCATCTTTGTGCTTGTTTAGGAAGCTAACTTTCTTGAAAAATTATAAAAAGAATAAAAGCAGATTTATTTTAGATGATGCAAAGAACTATATAGATTTGGAAAAAGTGTGAAAAATTTATTGTAATTTACTTGAGAATTTTCTGTTGAAGTTTAAATTTGAGGTTCAATTGAAAATTTATGAGATTAATTTTATAACAAATCAATTAGCAAAATTGTTATATTTTAATTTTAAAGTAAGCCCCTTCTGACATANGTTTTCATTTTTATATATATATCTTTAAAGCATAAATATTATATTTTGAATAATTAAATCCTTTTTGTTTTTTAGGTAACCGAATGTGAAATATTTTTATCACTAATAGTTAAATTTTTAGATAATGACAAGCCAAATTGGCAAAGAGCATTAGCATTAGAAGTCTTGCATAAAATGTGTATTCAACCCGAATTAATTAAGTAAGTAATTTTTGATTAAAATACAGGCGTCTGTCACTTAATGTCTTCTTGTTTAACATTTTTCCGACAGAACGTCTTTTGGTTTTAATATGCAAACTTTATAGAATGCACATATCTCGCGATACAACATTTTTTGGCTCATCTTTATATTTACATTACAGAATTTCTGTACAATGCCTTTTAACAAAACAATATGCAGGGAAAGTCTTGTTACATTCAGCTGAAATTGGTTAGGATGTTAGTATGCTATTCAAAACATTTACATATGATTCTAAGTGTTAAGAAATGGAAAAGCATCTTAAATTAGCTAGTGATAGAAAGAGAAGACATTGTCATATCATATCAGAACCTATAGCAGAAAGCCTAAATACACTTCCTTGATGATACCTGTCAATCAATCCTTAAATTTACAGAAGTGTCAGAGTCATTGTTAAGAATGTGTTGCAATTTGCTTTTGTTTGTATTTTTTAAAACAAAAATCTCTATTAGTCCATATCATTTATCTTGTATAATAATTGTAATATTTGTGATATGTTGTGCAGATTATACATGTTAAGATAGGTTTGCATTGCAAGAATGAATGAAATGAATAATAAAGCAAAATGTTGTTTACTTTATACTATGTGTGACAAACTGATTTAGAATATGATTGTTTTGAAAAAATTTTGAACATTAATTGTGAAATGTTGATTGGTCAAAAGTTGAGATATTTTCAACTCCTAACGAACTTGTTGAACAGTTATCAAAATGGGATGAACTGGCAGTTTGTATCTACTTTGTAGCAGCTCATATGCTAATATGAACTTAGCTTTACTGCATACAAACTACTGTATCAACTGTTTTGTGATCAGAAAATATTAATCATTTTATATCTTAATATGATACTTTGTAGCTTAATTAGGTATTATATTGTGTTTTAGTTATGTTTTTGGAAATTAAATTGGGAAATATAATTATTTACATTCAAAATATTAACAATTTCTCACAGAACACCTGATTTTCAGAAACAGATTACTGACATTAAGTAGTATATGCCTGTAAATTGTAAAAGAATTTTATGGTAACTGAGAAATTACATTTTTTTTTTTTTTGTTATAGATCATTCTGTGTATCATATGACATGAAGCTTCATAGCACTAAAATCTTTCAAGATATGGTAAATGCATTAGGATCATACGTGCAGTCTTTATTTGTCAATTCATCTTCTGTTAGCCAAAGTTTAGCATCATCATTAGGAGTGAATGCTGGACAGCAAAATTCAGTTGCTACTCAAGGACAATCTCCCGCACTTGTGGCAGGAATGCCGATTGGGGCAGGAGTCACTCCGCAACCAGCCTTCTTATATCGTGGTGTTTGGTTACCTTTAATACAAATTTATCCAGTTAATACCTGCAAACCTGTTTTGTAAGTTAAAGATTTTAAAAGTCTAATGTTTTATTTTTTAATTTAAAATATCAATAATACATTTTATGTAAATGCATTTTTTAAATTTGAGTTTAATAATAATAATAATACTTGCCACATAATTGTCTCACTCTGTTGTATATGGTTACAAAATCTTAAAATTTAAAGCTTGCAATTTAATTAAATGTATAGTCATAGCTATAGCAATAATAAATAATAATTTTATTTAAATAAAATATTACTTTTACAGTATTGAAATGTTAGATAAGCTAGAAGCTCCTACGATTCCTGAAGGATATGGTATTACTGTTGCGTACGCATGTCTTTTAGAAGTAATATGCAGTATTTCTAAGATAATTGAAGAACAAAATGAAAATTTGAGTGATGAACAAAACTGCTCTAAAAAATCTAATCAAGAAACTAGTGACAATCAAATTGAAGAAGAAAATCCCCAGGATGTTAAAATTTCTCCAGAATTGATGCCTCTTAAAGAACAATTAATCAATTCTTCGTGGTGTGGACTTTTAGCTGCATTTTCTTTGTTATTAGATGCAAGGTAGGTATTATTACTATAATTTACAAAATATTTTAAATTTAAAACAAATTTTATGAAATTTTAAAAGCAATATGCATTATTTTCTAATAGCATGAAACTTTTCAAAATGTATATATCGGGAGGCCAAACCCTGTCACAGTTGGAATTGTGTATATTGCCTATTAGAAATATTCAAGAGCTGCATATAACTGTTATATATAATATATAACTGTTCTAAAAGAGTCCTTTGGCTGTTTTAGAAGTTATATATTATATAGTTAAAATATTGTACTATATGGAAGCTACAGTAAGGGCCTATAAGAGCCACATGAAACTTGTGAGCCACAGTTTGGCCACTATGGGTATATAATATGATGTATAATTATAAAATATATAAATGCCAGTTGAATTTCAACAGGTTTATTTTTATATAGAAAGTTTTTGTATATTCTGTTTTCACGTGTATGCTTATGAAGTGCTTTCATTTTAATTTCAATTATTGAACGTAAAGATTTAAAAACACCAAACAAATACCAGAACACCAAACAAAGTTTAGAACGACCAAAAAATTGAACCTTTTATCACATCATACCGTACTACCATATTGAAAAATCAGGATCAAAGTAAAACTTTTTTCCATTTTAGTTCTTTTCTACTATTTAGGCACTAAGAGAGCCTGGAGAAAAGGGTCTGGTCAGGCCTACAATGGAGCAACTGGGTGGTGAGGGATGGAGCCTGACATATCCAGGACAAGACGACTCACGAAAGATTTCTGGAATTTTTCACCAGTCAAATTCAATGTCGGATATCCCAGAGTAGTAGGCTGAAGCCTTAACTGCCTTGACTATCTGGCTGGCTAAACTATAATTTAAACACTATTCTCTTGTCTGGTTGTATGCCATTTCCCCCGGTGCAATGGAATGGAACACCTCTGTCTATAATATTCTGTTTAATGATGCTATTACTTAATCTGTCTGCATTTAACATTTTAATATAATTTGTATGTGAAATTATAAATTCAGTTCTTAAATTAGAAAATTGGTGGGGATGCCAATGAATGCTTTAGTTCAAAATGTGTGAGTTGCTCATTTTTCATTAGTTAAGTAAGATCGCTTAATTCACACTTTGGAAGAAATCATTTTATCATTTTATATGATGATGATGGTTACACAAGATCTTTTTAGTAGAAATATACAAGTTAAATTGGAAAATATTGAATAACAAATTCAAGTGAACAATAGATGATGTCGAGATCAGCATCACTGACTCACTTCTATATACATAATTGGATAAAATGGATGAACTAGTAACTGTAGTTAATATGCTGAACTAGTCAATACACCTTTAACATTGGGTGAAATTTAAAGAACATTAATATTTTTGATCCACTTAACAGGCCATCTTTAAGCATGGACAGTTGAAAATGGAATGACAGCATTGGTAAGAAAGATGGAATAGACTAAACTAGTGAGGGAGGTGCACTAAGACGTATGTCCCCCCTGTTTATGCTATCCCATCTTTTTTCCTTACTGACACTGTTGTATATCATAATAATAACAATAATAAGTTATTGATGGCTGGATAATCAAGCAGCCAAGCCTACCATTCTGGAGACTCTGGGATTAAATCTAGATAGATTGAGAAAACACCAAAAATTTTTGGAGTGATACATCCAGATATGTCGGGCCCTTCCCTTATCACCCAGCGCCCCATTGTGGTCCTGGCCGAACACATAATGGGCTTGCTAAAAATGCTATTCAGGCTATAAAAAATAAATAATAGTTGGGCTCAAAATTGTGACTAATGAATATTGTATATATTTTTTCAGTACTGACGAAACAGCCACAGAAAATATTCTGAAAACTATACAGACTTACAGTAGTTTATGTGGAACTCTGAATATGACAATTCCAAGAGATGCCTTTATTACTGCAATGTGTAAAGCTTCGTTACCTCCACATTACACACTAACTATTTTGAATTCGAATGTTCCTAAAGGTAAAATATTATCTATCTAAAACATTTTTTATTGTTTCAGGTTATTTTTATTTAATAATGATTATTTATTAGGACACGGAAGAACTAACAGTCAAGATTTCTGCCATCCGAGTCCACCTACCATACCACCCGGACAACATCCATTAGGTTTATATTTAGGATGCACGGATAGTTCTGAAATTAGACAACAAGTAGTTGCTGTAGGAACGCCACTTCCTACGGCTTCTTTACCTCTCGGTGCTCAACAAGGACCCGTAATGGTAATTACATCGTAATATGAATTTATTTTATCATCATAATAAGTGTTATATTTAATAAATATTATAAAACTGTTTAGTTAACTGCTAAGAATCTTCAGTGTATGAGAGCAGTTCTAAGTCTTGCTCATTGTCACGGAGCAGTTCTGGGCACGGCATGGCATCTTGTACTAACTACATTACAGGTAATTTAATAATCTTTCAGAAATAATTTGATTTTACAAAGTAATCATAAAGTATTTTTAGTTAAATTTAAATAATTTTTAACATTAATATAATATGCGTTTAATTAATATGGGATTAATTGCTGTTAGTTGTATTTTTGGGAGGATTGTCCATTGTTACATTGCTTTAATTTTTTTAAGAATAAAGAATAGTATAGTGCAGATAATAGTCTTTTACCTGAATTCATTTATTTGAATTAATTTCTATCATAAATAGAATTGTAAATTTAAAAAGTAATTGTTTATTTCTGCATTTGTCTGATGGTTGAGATGTTTTCTACCAGCTCCAATTTAATATTCAGTAAAGAAAATTGGATAAAAAAGCAACAGAATATTGACAAAATAGATTTAATGTGGTTTGGATATGTTTATGATCAAATTAAATGATAAAATGTATAAGATATAATGAAGCAAGAGCATATGAGAGAGGAAAAGTTTTGTTTGACAGGAAATTTCTCAATATTCAGTTTAGTTGATGAAAGAAATATGATTTACATAGATTAATAATGCAGGTTGAGAATTCTTTATCTGAAATTCCAAAAACTAAAGCCTCAAAGTTTTTTGGGTGACAACACAATTCACCATAAATGGAAAATTTCCATTTATGGCGAATTGTATCAGTGTTCTTCCTGTGCCCTTATTGCCAGGTGATCCACCTGGCTGATAAACTTCACAAGAAGTATATTTAAATACACCAAAGGTGTGGCTTTTTGTATTCCTTGAATGTAGTTCAATTTCAATTTTTAATACAAGTTTGCCTGAAGACATTCAAAATTTAAACAAATATGCATTGTTTCAAACAGATCAATTAACACCTCTGTGGATATATCAAATTATTTTCACACATCTTTAGTGGGTATGTTTAAAAAACATAGACATATAGACGTGAAAATTTTTACCTGCCAATAGACTGGCAAAAATTAATAAAAATCTCATAATAAGCAACATAAAAAAAGTAATCAAATCAGACTAAGGTAGATTCAGATAATACAAATATTCCAAAACCTGAAACTTCTGCACCCAAGTATTTCGGATAAAGGCATCTTGAGCTGCGTTTTGATGACAATAACTTATTGAAGATTACAGAAATTAAAATATATTTTCAGCACTTAGTATGGATACTAGGATTAAAACCATCTACTGGAGGTAGCTTAAAAGCAAGCAGATCTGCAGATGCTCCCAATGCCGTGATTACCACGGCTGTTATGGCAGATTTACCAGTGTTGTCAGCGATGCTATCTCGTCTCTTCGAAAGTTCCCAGTAAGTATCATAAGACTAAATCCTAAATATTTCTAAAGTAGCAATTTAAATCTTTTTTAAACTCACAAAAATCAAATACTTCCCAGCATGAAATTAATTTTTTTAATTTAAAATTACCTGCTTTAAATAAAGGTAATTTGGCATACATTAATTTTCACACTATTTTCTTTTGAAATGCGTCCAGTTACGTACCATTGGCAGGCACATTGTCTAGCGTCTTTCAAAGTTCCCAGTAAGTCACACATTCTCTCTTAACTAAATTAATAGTCAACTCTTTCTGCTATGGTTGTGTGGCAGTAGTTGTGCCCGGCTTGCAGGGAATGCTGTGCAGTGCAGCTTTTATAGCATGCAAAATTTTGGTTGACTAAAGGTCTTTTATTAATTATCTAAGTGTTTAATATTTATTTATTACATGAATCTCTTCTTTATACAGATATTTAGATGATGTTGCTTTGCATCATTTAATTGATGCTTTATGCCAATTATCTACAGAATCAATGGAATTGGCGTACAATAATCGAGTAAGTTTTTATTACTTGCAACATTAGAATGCACGAGTCAAACTTTTGTATAGAGATTTAAATATTGCAACCCTGTTTGAAATATCTAGAATTTATGGAAATTTATTTCTTTGTACAATAAAAAAAAATATTAATAATAAGTCAAACCTTCTGCACTATTTCTAGCAAACAGTTTAATAAATTTAACGGAAGGTGTGACTTACTATTAGTAGGTTGCAGCTCAGCACATAGAGAATTGTAAAAGTACGAACTTTGATGAATTTTGACAAATTTACTGTAATCTTTGTCAATGTAATAACTTTTATAATGAGGTAATTTGGCAACTTTCTGTTCCTTGTTTTAAAACAGTTTCCGAATTTACTTATGATACATAAATTACAGATTCAGAATGAATTTTTTAACAATAGATATTGCTTTAGAATTAATCATATAAATTAATTTGAGTATTATTGATTATGATATGGTGTGTTTGAAAAGTTATTGTATAGTGAGTAATTTGTAATGACATTGTTACACCTACAGTATTGCATACAAGAACTAAGGTGTATATAATATCATATGGTCAACTGGTATCGAATGGACAACCTTACAGGTCTTGTATGCAATACCATGTAACTGTAATGTCATTAAAATTTCTCATTGCATGGTAACTTTTCTAATATGCTGTATATTAATTTTGCCAGTTTTAGGATCACGGGCAATTTTTGTCCTCTGGTTGTGTTATTTAGAATACACTTTCTTACGATAATTAAAAATTAAATTTGTTAATGAAACTATTACATTTTCAGAAAATTTTCAAGAATACGGTAAAAATATTCATTGAATATTATTATAAATGCATTGTTTTTGAATAATTATGCATCAAATAGATAATACAAAAGTTTGACTTAATTCTTAATCTGTATATTATAACTTGAAATATTTATTATAACTGTTCTGTAATTGTAAATATTTTCATGTGTTATTTCACAGGAACCATCATTGTTTGCTGTTGCAAAACTTTTGGAGACGGGACTTGTAAATTTGAATCGAGTAGAGGTTTTATGGAAACCAGTATCCAGTCATCTTTTAGAGGTAAAATAAAGTGATTAAATTTCATTATCATCATCATTAATTAGCAAGAATTCTTTATTTATATTGTTTGATTGAAGTGGTTATAAAATTATTAGTGTTATCATTTATTTCTTAAGATTTTATATAGTGGATTCTCATTAATATCAGCCCTTATGGGATTACTTGTAAAGGTTAACATTAACTAATTATTGATTAACTGATGAACAATTATGCAAATTCAGCTACAAAGAAGGTTATATGGTACAAATACAGTAATATTTTACTATACATTTCATTATAAGAATATAATTTCTGTTTTCAGATGAATGTTTTATTTCAAGAATCACAGAAAAATGTTAAAGTAATTATTATATATATATAACAAAAGATTCTTGAGCAAAAACATTCATTTAAAAGTATCTGTTAAGAAAAATTAACTTGTTTTTCTTAATTATGATTTTATTAATGTATCAATGTAAGTGCACATTCAGAATTTTATTCAGATTGAATAAATTGAAGAAGACAGTCAATGAAAAGAAGAGTCACTTTTTAAGTAAAAACTGCTTTATCATCATGTTCTTAACGCTGCGCATAGAATGGCAAAATTAAGACAACAATTAGAGTTGATAACTAGACACATGTTTCGCCATTTGTCTCTTGACCTTGTCTACAAATCTGATTGGTTGAGACTGTCGTCTTAATTTTGCCATTTGTGTGCATTGGACCTTTAATTAACAATTTCACATGATTACTTTCTTGATTCTTATTATTTGAATGTATTTTTTAACTTAGTTTGGCATTGTAAAAGCAAAAATCTTCAATGCAATTGTACAGTAAAAAGAACAAACAATACTTTTATATAATATGCATGATACCTGTTGAAACTTTTTAAACTTTTGAAAAAATTATTCTGAAATTTCAAACACAGAAGCAAGCTAAATTTGTTTATATTTTGTTGAAACTTTCAGAAAGCAATAATTATTAATAATTTTAACGTGTGTGTGTGTATAAGCAAAAGGCACATTGACATTAATCAATATTGCTTGGTACATTACAAACATACTTAATTAGAAAGAAAGGTCAATGTATAACTGTTAACTGGGTTTCTTTTAAATGAAGTTAAGCATACATCGATGTACTGGGTTTCTGCCAGGATGTCAAACACCAATGATATCAAGCTGATGCTGATGCTGATGAGAATCCACTTTCTGTAATTATAGATAATATTATTGGTTTAATGTTGTTTGAAAGAAACATTTAAATTAAAATACTTATAAAACTGCTTATTATAATCATGTATCGATTACTGTTATCAAATAAATAATAATTTTTAAGCTATCTTTCTACACTGTTTCTCAATATATGGCTGCCAATGCATGGTTAAGCTACCATTTTTAGTTTTAACTAGTGCTTTAAATCTTAATTGTTTTAATTGCCTTTTTTAATAGTAAGTAATTTAAATTGCTGGAATTTCTTACTTCAATTATAGGCTGGATGAATTGCTGCTAATTAATAATAATAATAATAATAATAATAATAATATCCTTAAGTTAAACATGTTTTTTAATTGCATTAACATATCTATAATATCAGAGTCAATAAAACTAGAATTTCCACTAATTATAGTTGTATTTTATAATTTAAAAAATTTTGTGTATTAATTTACATATATTGTTTATTTTAGGTGTGCCAGCATCCTCATATACGAATGAGAGAATGGGGTGCTGAAGCTGTAACGTATTTAGTGAAAGCTGCTCTTGCAAATAATTATGATCCCCCTTTGAAAGAAAATAAGGTAATAATGGTTTTTAAAAGTTGATATAATGAAAATTATACAAACTGGAATAGATTTTATTACAGTTCATGCATGTGTTATATATAAAAATGCATGGTAATGTATTATAAATTTAATTGCCATGCTTTGATGCTTTCTTTCATTGATGATATCGATTTATGCATTGTGATTTAAAGTAAACTTTTCAAATTAAAAGTTTTTCTACATATTATGCATGTTTTTCACTTAATTGAATGATATTTTATTGAATTATAGTAAATTATTCATTTACATTTTCATAATTAACATTGAAATATAACTTTATTAGAAATGTGTTATTCATAAATATTGTATTTGATACATTGTTAAATTTTATATAAAAGCTATTTAGGTTTAAAATGATCCGAGTTTTTATTTGGAAATCAAGAAAGAATTAGAAAAAATTATATGTTTGGTCGTCTAGAATTCGACCATACCACACGATACTAAAGAATATAGAGGAATAGTTAAATACTGTGATTTACCGACTCTTTAAAATGATGGCACGGGCTATTTTTCTAGAATTGTTTCAAATATTGCATTTGATGAGGCATTTAAATGGGAATATTAAAATAGCTTGCTTAATTAAATCCGGCTGATATTCTTTTTACTTTCAATGTGAAGTTGTCGATCCCAATAAAATATATGCATTTATTAATTTTTACTTGATAAATGATAGGACCAAAAATTCAGTAACAAATCTAAGTGCTCTTACAAGATCTAGATAAAACAATGTTTATTCAATGCTATGCTAATATCTTGATTTTGGTCAAGTGGCAGAAGCAGTCAACCTATTACTCTGGAGAACTTTGGATTAAATCTGGCCAATCAAAAAATCCATCTCTCACCATATGGCCAACTGTGGGTACCACCAAATCAATAATGGTATAAGTAAAAAGATTTCATTAGTTTTTGCAGCATATAAAATAAAAAAGTTTTGGATTTAAATTTGTTCTTCCCTTTTTTTTTATAATTGTAAATGATATTATTTGATATTGTGATTGATGACATAACTGTGATACCTTGTAAATTATTATTATTATTCCAGACAAACATTGGCCTATTTTTGTCAATTCTATAATATCGGTATATAAAAATTGGTATAAACAAATTGGGGAAATGCTTAAAATCAATATAATATTGATTGAAAGGCAATGTTTACAACAGTTTTTACAAAAACCAGTCTTTTATATTAAACTGACAATTTTTAAATCTTCATTGATTGTTTNTGCTTGTTTAGGAAGCTAACTTTCTTGAAAAATTATAAAAAGAATAAAAGCAGATTTATTTTAGATGATGCAAAGAACTATATAGATTTGGAAAAAGTGTGAAAAATTTATTGTAATTTACTTGAGAATTTTCTGTTGAAGTTTAAATTTGAGGTCCAATTGAAAATTTATGAGATTAATTTTATAACAAATCAATTAGCAAAATTGTTATATTTTAATTTTAAAGTAAGCCCCTTCTGACATAATGCATTTATTCCATCTTGTCTTTCTTGCATTGTAGCATCCTTCAAAGCCATTTTGGATCTTCTCAATAGTTTCAAAATTCACACACAAAATTCAAAATGAAGATCTTTCACTTTTGACGACAATTTCTAATTTCCATTCATTGATATCGAAGAATGACAGTCTGTACGTGTTCAAGATTATCACCCAAAATTGAATTAAGAATAAACTACACTGTCTTTCAACATTAAATTCATTTACTTGAAAAGTAAGTACAAACAAATACTTCTGACATTTCAAAATGTCATCTTTGGTCAGAACGTACATTAACATGTCATGTGTGCTCTGCCTGAAGATGTCTTTCATCATTAAAGTCATTTATTTTTCAAGTAAGGGACTTTAACACCAGAAGACAGTGTAATCTATTTGTAATGTTAGTTTGGCTTCATTAGAGAGCTCATTTCATTACACCCAAAGTTGAAGTTGAGGAACACCTCGATCTTTGTTCATTCTTCTGAAAACACTTTATGCTAATGAACACAGGACAGAACATCACCATCATATGCAGTCTTTAATGCATCATAAGTTTCAGTTGCACTTTTTTTTTTATTTCACATATAAGTTCATTGAATATTATTGTTTCATAGTTTTCTTTATCCTTCTGTAACCACTACTTAAAACATATGCATACCAAATCCTCTGGTGTCAACATAACAGGTATTGCTGAAGGTTAAAACTTGCATCAAATGTTCAGGGAAGATTACATGATTGAGTATTATGTAAAAGAATGGCAGCGTCGTCATAACACAATACAGATTTAGTCTTATTACTTTTCAATTAGATCTTGTAAAAAAATTTGTGTAAATTACTCCTTTATTAAGAAGCAATTGCAGAGAGATACGCAGAGAGAAGTAATTGCACAGAGAGATCTTGTTAAACTAGTGGTGCTCAAGTTTTTTGATTGACGGATCAAATTGCACTCGAGCTGTAGGTGGGTGAGCTATGGATATTTTGTTTATTATGTATAAAGCCAAAAGTAGGCCTATTTCTATCGTAAGTGACGTGCAAATTACGTTTGTGGGTCAAATTAATGCACCTAATTTGGAAACTGGGTTAAATCATTAGTTGTTTAAGATAGTTTGTCTGATTTAATCTGGAAAAAGTTAGCTTAATTCAGTTATTAATAAATGAAATATTAAAATTGCCAGAATAAAGAACTTAGTTAATTTGTAATTGTTGTTAACTTCATAACTCATTAATTTTAATATATATTGAAAACTTAAATTTATTATTAAATAAACAAATTTCAAGTAAGTCTGTTTTGCATTTTTTCTTACTAAATATAATTAATGTTACTGAATTTATTATTTCAATGTATTTAAAAAATAGTTTATTTGAAAATAATAATTAATAATAATAATAATAATAGTAATTAATATTTTGTTGTTTTCAACTTATACAAATTACTGATTTTACCAAATAAGAATATCAGATGATAAAACATAGCAACTAAAACAAATATAGATAGATATTAATCCATAATAATATCCATAGATACTAATGTTAGAAGGTTAACAGCTGAATTTTTTCAATTTCATCTTAACGGAAGGAAACTTGGATAATTTGAAGCTAATCGATGGCACAGCTTACTTGTTATGCCCACACAACCAAGGATAGAGAATTAAAATTAACCAGTTAACATTCACTTTAAGTACACAAGCACTTATTAACTTCTAACTGTTGATTCTTGCTTGCGAATATGGATGTGTCTCTATTTTGAAATGTCATCTAATTTGTGTATTTGGCCAGCTGGAGGGCGGGTGTCGGCTTACTTCTCTGGAGGATTTGGGGTCAAATCAGGGCAGGCAAAACACTCCAGAAAATTTTTCTGTGCAGTTTGTTTTAAATGCGTTGGGCTTGTCACTCAGCTGGCCTGGAAAAAGTGTCCTCTTAATGTCCACGGGGTAGAAAAGTAAAAAAGAATTGTATACTATATGAAAATTCAGATTGAGTCTGTTGAAATATGTCAATGACAAATTTTCAGGCTAAAAATTTTTAATCGGAGTATTTTAATTGAATTTGTTGACTGCAATATACTTAATAGATAATTTCAAAGACACTTTTTACTTTAATTAATTGCAAATTTAATTAAAAGGAAATTTGTTGTTTTTTGAATAGTATTGCACATATTTAGTTTTCTACAATTTTTAGGATTAGATGCACTTAAATTTACTCTCTCTCTACACACTAGAATTATAATTTCCCATATAGTCTTTGATGTGCTCTTGGCAGTTATATTTTTATTAAAATATATTTAAAGTTATAAATATGAATAAAATTTTTTCTATCTTTTGTACTTTATTGTAGTAATGAAAAAAAATAATAATTACAATAAACTTCCCAAAGCCTGATTCATTGATACTAAACCAAACAATTGCCGTAATTAATTGGGCTATTATTTTCTAATTATTAATAATTAGATATTAAATAATTTGATATTATTAACATATTGAAATAAATAAGATAATAGATATTAAATAAAATTATTAACCGAATAAGTCATATAAAGTAATTAAGTAATCGGGATATTCGAATTCGAGAAGTGATATTCACCCGTCTCTAATATTTATAATTGAAATACAACTAAACACAAAATTAGATGAAGCAACAGTTATATACATAATTTTTAGTGTAGAACATCAATATATAAAATATCAAGCATTAAACATACACTAAAGAACCTATTTATGAAGCCAGAAATACATTTTAAAACATACCTCTGGTTTCGTAAATAGCTTGAGAGTATGGTTGGTGCCAGATATAAACCTGTGGAGCCTGTATCATTCACCGACTCATTTAAAAATATAAACTTAATATTATATAAGTTACTATAAATAACAAAATACGTAAGCAGAAATATTAGTACAGTGAAATCCCATATAATGCAGATTTGTATAATGAGATGAAAAATTGTGACTAGAGTCCAGAGGTATACATTTTTTTTCTTCAACTTCTATGCTTAGGTTTAAACTTGGATAAAATCATCTGATAATACAGGTCTTGATAACACAATTTCCCATAACGGAACGTATCCACTCGTTGTACGGGACTTTACCATGTAATTTCTTATCTCCTATGTATTTTGTTTTAATATAAGAGTTATTATGAGAAATATTTGTTCTTTAATTATTTAAAACATAATTAAGAAATATTTTGTTATTAAGTCAATAAACTTTACACAATATTTAAACTTGTAAACGTATTTAAAATGATTTCAGAAATTACAAATACTTTTGTTAACTCCTCTGCAAGAACTCTCTAACATACCTCATCCGGACATTCGACAGAAGCAGTTAGACTGCGCTTTGCAAGTTCTTCATAGTACAGGAGAGTTTATTTCGAGCGGATGGCCGCAGATCTTGGACATCATTGCGGCTATCTCAGAAGCGCAGGGGTAAAAATTTTTGTTTAAATACTTTCCGGTTTGGTTACCTTTAATCACAATTAAACATGAATTACAATTTCAGAGAAGAATTGATCCGCTCAGCATTTCAGTGCCTTCAATTTATTGTTGCTGATTATCTGCCAATTATGCCATGTATGTGCCTAAGACAGTGTGTGGATACGGCTGCAAAATTTGGTTCTCAGAGCCAAGAATTAAATGTTTCATTAACCGCTGTTGGATTGCTGGTATGTTCAGAGTAGTGTTGTTTCTTTTATTAGGAAATAAGTAATATTTTTAAGCAGTTGTACATACAAAAATTGTATTTGGAATGAAATATATATTTTAATTACTTCATTAGATATGATATATTTGATCTTATTTTTGTTTAAATATATCTATTATTATTATGATTACAATTTGTTAAGGTAATATATTTAGTACAGAGAAGAAATCAAGAAGAATAAACTAAAAAATGCTATTTTTACACTATAGCCTCCAATATTGTTAATGATCACTGTCTCGAGAACTTGTTCATATTTATTGAAGTGAAAAAAGGGGGTTACAGCATAAGTAGACCTAAAAATATAACACGAATAGTTATTTCTTGTTGAATGGGATTAAGGCTTGAGGTGGCCCTATGAAGTATTACTTCGCTAACCCACCTCGAGCCTTACTAGCAGCTTTGCGGTGTTTGGCATAGAGCAACGAGTTTCTTCAAGTATTCTAGACCAAACTCTTCTCATACACTTCTGTAGTCTAATAATAATTTATTTTCAGGTCTCCTCTTTGCAGTTTTCATGCACATAGTAAGCCAGTGAGGTTGAAATCAATTCTTTCCTGGCCAATTTAGGCAATGCTTCTTGCAGCAAATAGTTTTACCTAAACAATTTGTACATCAGCTTAAGTGGCAATAATGCTAACAACTAAAGCAATAATGCTTCTGTGTGCATGTGCAAATGTTAGTGTCTATTTTGCATTGTATCTCAGGACTGAATGAACCAAAAATTTGGAAACTTGGCAAGCTTTTGTTGTCATTTCAATTTTATATTGTTGTTTAATTAAAAAATATCAGACTTCTGATTCTCTTAACCTTCTGTTCGAATGCTGGGAAAATCAAATGAGTTCTTTCCAACTTTTAAATTTAAAATGTGGGAAATACTTAATTTATATGTAATTTTAAGATATGAAATCAAATAAAAAATTAACATTTATCAAAAATGTTATGTAAATATAGGTTTGTTTCCAGGATTTTTGTTTCATATAAACTTGTTTTCTTCATTCATAAAACTAGTCATTTTATTATTATACAAACATAATCTAAACTACACTTTTATTTAACATCACATCTGTACTTTTTTCTAGTGGAATATCGCAGACTATTTATTTCAAAATCAAGAAAAAATACATAAACTGTTAGACGAAAATATGGACGATGCCATTGCTAATCAGTCAAGTTCCCTTCCTCCATTTGACAATCTGTGGATGTGTCTCTTCACTTGTTTGGGAGACTTGTGCGTCGATTCGAGGCCCGCTGTAAGGAAAAGTGCGGGGCAGACTTTATTTTCTACGATCGGAGCGCACGGCTCGTTACTACAGCAACAGACTTGGCAAGTTGTGCTGTGGCAGGTATAAGATTTACTTAATGTCGGAAAATTTCATTTATTTTTGTGCAAATTTCATACAAGATTTCATGGCTAGGTATTATTTCCATTGCTGGATAGAGTTAGAACACTTTCTGGTTCTGCATCTACAGATAAAATAAGTGATATGGGAGGAAATATTCTTATTCATCATTCCAGAAATACTGCTCAGAAACAATGGGCTGAGACTCAAGTAATTTATTATGTTATTTTTATTGTAATTGCACTTATTTATTTAAAGAAAGACTAATCTTTTTATTGGTTTTTAGGTTCTTACTCTTTCGGGAGTGGCGAGGATGTTTCATACTAAGAGAGAGATCCTTCAGAATCTCGGAGATTTTCCGAGAGCTTGGGCTCTCCTCTTAGAGTTTATCGAGAGTTCTTCCCTTAGCAAAAATAATGAAGTATTACTTTATAATTTAGATATTAAATAAGAAAATTTTTGCATAAATAATTTAAAAATCTTTAAATCTTAACTTTTAGGTTTCATTTTCTGCACTGAAAAGTTTTCAAGAAATATTAAATATCAGTAGATATCCGAATATTGATGGAAAAATTCAAACTGAAGTAAAAACTGACCCACAGAAAATGTAAGTAAATATAATACTCTCAATAAATTCTAAGAGTTTAATTCAAAATTTAAAAAATTCTAATTCAATAAATTCTAAAAATAAATAATAAATTCAGAATATAAGTCCTAATCTTCTAATTTTAGAGATAATTTAACACCATGGATCACAGCTTGGAAAGTCTGGTATAATATAGGAATAGAAAGTACTAAGCCGCCTCCCGATAAATTAGTTGATGATGCTAACATTCGAAATGATTTTTCTCTTCTTTACATACCGTCGCAACCATTTTTAACTGCCCTCATTCAAATATTTCCATATTTATTCCAACATATAAAAAACAGGTGATTTTTTTTTTGTTTTTTTAAATTTCATTATATTTTCTATTGAAATTAAATTTTGTTGTGTATTAATTTACTTAACTATTGTATAATTTTATTAGATTTGTAGCTTTAGATTTACAAAAACTCTCTACGGTTCTACAGAATGCTATTGCAGTTCCCGTTCACGGTGAAGCGTCGCCTTTTATTTTACCTTCGTTAACTGAAGTAGTTCTCACTCCTTTGCAGGAATCTGTTTTACAAGCAATGGATATTCTAATAAAGGTAATTATTATTACTTTTGTGTTTGAAATGCTAAATAAATGAATTGGTCATGATATACAATCAATCAATTAATTGATGATGATTTTCAATTTTAAAGTGGCAAAAATATTGCTCTAAACTATATTCGAGTCCAGTTAAAGTTATAAAAAACACACACACTTCTGAATCATAAAAATAAAATTCCAGAATAGTTTAAAGCAGATTAAAATACAAACGTTTTTGATCTTCTATGTAGATCAAAAACGTTTATATTTTAATCTGCTTTAAACTGTTCTGGAATTTTATTTTAAGGTTCAAAGGTGTGTATTTTTATGATATAATATATTCCAGTCTTACAGTGTTTAAACCAATTAAAGTTTTATCCAATTTCAATAATTGTCTGTGGTATATATCAAGCAGAGTTAAAATGATAATAAAATTTGGTATGATGATTGTTAAGTGATGATAAATGCCAGTAAAAGAGTGACCTGTCATGTTGCAGCCCACAAACTATGCATGGGAATTAAATGTTTGTCATGATTGTAAATAATTGATTAGTTGACTGCTTGAAAACAATTGACTAATAGATTTATATCAATCGTTTTTATCATATTCAACTGAATCAATCAGGAATTACTTTTATATTTTACTGATTTTAGATGATTTTGATTGTAAGTTTTGCTGTTTAGAAACGGAAATTGAACATTAACTTCATAGAATTCATAAGAGTTTACTTAATTTACTACCTTAATAATATACTTTTTACCCTATTACTATACTATATTTTATTACTTTAATATATTCTTACTGATATTTTAATATTTATCTTTATGTAGGAAGCTGTAAATGGTCATGATAATTTAAAGATGATGATTCCTGCAATATTCAATCAGTTATTAGTTTTTTCTTGTTATGCTTGTCATGCTCCATCCTTTGGAAAATTAAGAACAAGGTCTCCAAATGTTAAGCAATCAATGGTAAATATTTTATATATATATATATATGTTCTCATTCATTGTTTCTCTTTAATTTCTTATTGATATAGTTTATTCTTATTTATAGACTGATTGGGTTACAATGAATTTTGTACCTTTTGGTGAAAAATCACTTGAAATGGTTGTAACATTATATCAGCAAACAGCTCAACAACAAATTGTGATCCAATCACAAGTTTTACATTCCATTTTAAAAGTAAGTAAAATATTTTTTTTATATAAAAGGTACATATTATTTTATTCTTGATGATTATAAAATTTGGGTAACATGATATGTGATATATAAAGCCTTATATATGATACACAAACCTTATTGTTTTTACTACAGTAGAGTCTCGGAAACTTGACTCTCAATAACTCAACATTTCATAAAAATTTATTGTGTTGTTTGAAAAAAAAAGTGTATCTAATTTTTACTTCTATAACTTAACATTGGGATTAAACAAGTTATTGTTCTTCACTGGCATCAATATCACACTTTAACAAAGAATAAAACAATTTTTCCAAGGTCAGCAAAATGCAAATGTCACTAACTCAAAAATAACCACTAAATAGACAATATTTTTTAAATTAAAATTTAAGTACAAATAGAAATAATCACTATTGGTACATATTTAATATGTATATGAATTTGTGCATATAATACCTTTATGAAAATTTCACTATTTAGACTAGCATCATTTCTATGCCGCAAAACTTGTCATTTTCAATAACTTATCGTCGTCTCAATCAACATTAAGTCAAGTTTGTGGGAGTCTATTGTAATTATGAAAATCATATTTAATTAATTCATTCTTAANTTTTTTTCTCTCTTACTCAATTTCTGATATTATTTATAATTTTAATAAATTTTTCAGAAAATTAATATGGTCTGCAATGAAACAAGATAAATATAATTTAATGAGAAGTGATACCAATGGACAAAATATAGAAAATTTTTTCTCATTAAGTAATAATTGTCATTCATCAAAATCTGATATACAAAGAAATCAAATTGGACATTCCTATAATTGTTCATCATCATTGTTTGTTAGAAGAGCATTCACAATAGACAGATCAAATATATCTCATCCAGAATTGCTTTGGGTTGATGGAAATGATGGACATATTTGGGCATCTGATCTAAATGGTTGCAATTGCCGAATTTTAGTTAATGCTAATGAAAATAAAAATATTGGTAAGTATTTAAATAGTTTTAAATTTGTTTTGTAATAATGAATATATAATTACAATCATTACAATAATTTAAATGAATATAAAGTTTATTGAAAAATATTTTGACTTATAATATATATTGATGATGATTGTGAATGATCAGTAATTTTTAAAAAATTATATTCTTTTGGAATAATGCATTTCCATAATTTATTCTATTGTAACAAATGTTTCTGAAAAAAAGATGTTAGAATTTTTAAAATGTTGAATATTATATTATTTTTTGTTATTTGTATGTCATTAACTAATAACAACAGCTACAGAACTGGGCACTAGTATTATCTGAGTAGGATGAAATCCACACACATAATAATAATTTATTGCAAAATGAAAATTGGAATCTAGTCTTTTAAATCTATATTTTTTTATATTTGATNTTAGATCATTATTTTAAAGTCTACTAATTATCTATAAAGATTATTATATAAAATTTGTATTATTTAGTTTTGTGTATTTCAAGTAATGAATTTTGTCATCATTAAGTAATGAACAAATAATATGACAATGGATGAGAATAGCCAGAGATAAAGTTTTTGATGATTGAGATACCAAATAATATGCAATTTAAACTAATTAGAACAAAAATTAAATCAGTTTTAATATATTACAAATGGTATCTCTGATTTATAACTAACAAAAGAAAAATTATGTAATTCAAAATTTAATCTATCCATGAAATAAATATATTCATATTTGATAAGTATTTTATATTCTGGTACTAAATGTACAGGATGATTCCAAACTATGGGAGTGGGTTCCTGGCAGGATAAAGAACAAAAATAGACCCATTGACATGTTAAGAAATGTACTATTTTCCAGTATCTAGACACCACCTTCCCCGGCAGATCAATTGGTTAAGGGGCTGTACACCAGATTTGTCAGATCCTAATCATTGTGATTTTTTTATTTGTGGGGCATCTGCGAAATGTCATGTACATTGAGCCAGTTTCTGATGTAAGGATATTGGAGAAACGTAAATGTAGCCTGTAACACTTGCTTGGATGCAAGCTAGAACATCTAAAAGAGCACATCGGTTTATGACCACATGCATAAACTGTGACTCAGATATGTATACCATACTGTTTTGCAAACCTATATCCAGTTTGTGATTCCCAGTGGTGTTATCTATGTCTACACAGTGCATTCCTGGATATATATTAATGGGATAATTTTTTGTTCTTCAGCCAGGAATCCATTCCTGAAGTTTGCTCCCATAGTTTGGAACTAGGCTATATAAGTTTGTTCTCATTAAAAACTACGCCCCTGAAAAACAAACTTTTGTAGCCAATAATGTGTATTTGTATATTTTGTTAAGCAAAAAGTATTGTGGTAACTCCAAACAGTTCTTTTATAGTATATGGAATATGAATAAAAATATTTTTATATCATTTGGCACGCATCTATAATCATTAAGATTTGACTAATGATTAATTCTGCAGAAAAATTATCTGTAGGAAAGAATTTTAAATGGAAAAAGTTTTTGAAGGAAATGACGTGTGTGTGATTAACAGAATATTGTAAAACATAAGGTAAAATGAAATCCAGTTTATTCTTTTAAGTGGACATCTGGAAATTTATATATTTGATTTCTGACTAAGTTACCATTAATTAGTTTAGTCAGAAACTAGTAAAACTAATTTAGTTGAAGAGAGAATATAAAGATACTAGACACTTGAACTTGACAAAAATTCAAGGAAACATTTAGCAATAGATAAATTTTTATTGATTTTCTTATTTAATAACAAGTCTACACAATTCTAGATAGAATGTGAAATCGTATATCATTAATTGAACGGATATTACTTTCTGTGAACTGTGGTTATTTTATAGGTTTTTAAAGATTAGATTTCCAGATAATTCTTTGTTTCTGATAAATTGTTTATTTAATATTTGTTAGTAATTGTTGTTATTTTGGAATGTTCATAAAAAATTTGCTGAATTTTTCTACAGATTTAATTTAAATTCTCTTTTTTGATCTAAAAAGTCCAAATTTAAAAATATCTCTTGCATGTCATATGTATTTTTGGTACATAATAATTTGTTTTGAAATATGATAAAGTTGCATGATATCCTAGTTAATTAATATAGAAACAAGCAGTAAAACACATGATAAAGTAAGAAAGGTATGTGTGATGGTTTTATGACGATTTGGAAAATTTAACAGGTGTATGAAAATTTACCTGTAAAACTGTTCGGGTGAAAAAATTTGCTTTTAGATGGGCGGAATTAATCAATTACAGAAAAAGTTCCAGTTCTGCAGGAATATCTCTTTCAGTGAAGTCTCTCTCTCGACTCACTGTTGATCGGATGCAGTTCTGATCAATTTCAACTTAAAAAATGATTGTTTTGTAGATATAACAAATACCAGTACATTTAAATTTTCAATAATTGCCAATTTGATGATTTAAATACTAAAATATACTATCAAATTTGTGAGACCCCCTAAAAATGCAAGGCTCTAGGCATTGCCTTTTTTTGTCTACATGTAGAACCACTTCTGATTTTACATATTCATCTTAATAAACTAAGCTATAATCTTCAGTATTCAAATTTTAATTAGAAAGAAACTGTGCGTTCAAAATTTTCAGACATTCTTGTTTGTTTTCCTTATTAAAGAAAAATAGCAATTGACTATCAGCATTTTAAAGTTAGAAAACTGCTAATAAATATGAATTATTAGACTTAAAAAGTAGCAAAATAAAACCACAATGTTTTATGTTTAAGAATGTTTAAATTTTGTATTTATAAAATTGATGATAACTTTTACATTAAACAAATTTTATTAATTTTTTAAAAGCTGGAAATATATTTATTGTGGATTTATATGTTCATGGAAAGTGTTTTCGTTTTTTAAAAACGTAGATATGCTCGTGTTTGGGTCAGCTAAAGAATATTAAAATTCAATGGCACCGCTTTTTGGCAACATTTTCCTTTTGTGCATGTGTTTTGAAAACTTCTAGAACACGCTGCATGTTCTTTTTACAAATGCTGTGGAACATTATCTTTAGTTTGAGTGCTACTCTTTTATTTTCAATTATCTTTTTGTTATATTACATAAATGAGTAAACATAATTTTTATTTACGAGGGTGGTTTTTTCAACATCCGATTGTCCATTAAAAAAAGACAAGAGTAAATAACAAAATGAATTTATTACCAAAAGTTAGGTAGAAACATGGTTAGTTTTCAACATAATCACCATGAAGATTGAGGCATTTTCATATCTGTGGATGAGCTTTTCCATCCCCTTTTCATAGAATGTTGCCACCAGTGAATTGAGATGGCCTTAACGATGTTGTTTTGAAGATTGTCATTAATCTCAAACCTTTGCCCTCTTAGCCATGTTTTCAGTTCAGGAAAGAGGTGCAAGTCTTCATACATTAAAAAGTTCTAAACTGGGTGGAAGTCTGAATTTACCATCTTTAAACACCAGCTTATAGTCCAGATTTGGTGCCAAGCAACTTCCACCTCTTTCCTGAACAGAAAAAGTGGCTAGGAGGGCAGAGGTTTGAGACTAATGAAGATCTTCAAAACAACATTAGGGCCCATCTCAAGTCATTGGTGGCAACATTCTATGACAAGGTGATGGAAAAGCTCATCCACAGATATGACAAATGTCTCAATCTTCATGGTGATTATGTTGAAAACTAACCATGTTTGTACCTAACTTTTGGTAATAAATTCATTTTGTTATTTACTCTTGTCTTTTTTTTTATGGACCATTGGAGGTTGAAAAAAAAAACAGCCTACATATTACGGAAAGTTCTAAAGAAAGNCATTAAAAAGTTCCAAGCTGGGTGGAAATCTGAAAGGTGGAAGTCTTCACCACTTTTAAACACCCAGTTTATAGCCCCGATTTGGCACTGAATGACTTCCACCTCTTTTCTGAACAGAAAAAGTGGCTAGGAGGCAGAGGTTCGAGACTAATGACTATCTTCAAAACAATGCTAGGGTCCATCTCGAGTCATTGGCAGCAACATTCT